TGTTATTTTTTTTTTTGGGGGGGGGGACAAGATTTCTAACAAATAATGGTCATATATATTTCAATTTTGAGTTTTGTTTTATTTTTGAGAAAGCCTAGAGAATAATGTTGTGCAAAATTAGTGACATACAAATTATGGTAATTAAAGTAGGCCTACAATGTGGGTCCATTAAGAAAAGAATTCAGGTAGGAAATTTAACCTGCAAAATTAAAATGAAAACTTATTTTACCATATCTGTTAGCAAAGATTCACTAGTATTCTGGAATTCTAACCTTTACTTACCAATCCGGTAGGTGTGTAGGATGACTTTCTAGAGCAATTAGAACTTGATGGGATGTTAGGAACCTGAGAAGCATAGCAGAGCTTCTCGTAGGAGCAGATGAAACCCTTACTCCATAACAGTATCATTAGTAGCAGGTTGCAGGAGTCTGAATGATAAGGAAATACAGCTACTCAATTAGGATTGCTTTTGAGTCAAAGGAAATAAGATTATGTTAGATTACCAGCAGGTTTTTTTTGTTGGTTTTTGTGTGTGTGTGTGTGTGTGTTTTTTCCAGGCAATTCTTCATACGTTACTTTAAATGTTTGAGGTTTGAAAATGGGAGAAGGATTTTTTTTCCCAGTGGAGTATGCCTGGTGGTACCTATACTGCAAGGTGAGTAGTGTATACAGAAGACCCATTTATATTCCTGAGGTTAATTTTATAAACTTTTGCTAAAACTATTGGGGTGAATAAGAAACATAACAGGGAATTGTTAGAAAGAACAAGGTAACTGATGAGGTAACCTAGAACTGAAACCCTGGATTACAACATTTAAGGTAGAAGCACGTGGGTTGATAAGATTGAGAATGGCGGAGTTCCTGAGAACGCATGTGAGCCCCCCTGGAGTGGCAATCGGCAACTTTGCAGGCAGAAATTGTATGACGGCTAATGCATTGTTTGTGTGAGCAAGTAGAACTGAGCAATTCCTTCTCATGTAGGTATCTCTTTAGAAGTGTTAAGAGGAACAGTATCTGCAAATGTTTTAGATGTAGTATGGTGTAATGTCAATAGCCATGGTCTATAAAATTTAATCTTTACTTACTCATGTTGAAAAATAATTGTAGGTTAAAGGATTTAATTGTCAGAAATCATGATCCAAAATGTGTTCATTAAAACTTTATTTTAGGCAGATATAACTACAGGTTAAAAATAATGTTCAAAGACAAGGGTTAAGAATTTATTGTCTACATAGGCTATTTAAAAAATAAGAGTACAAAATTTAAGCATGAAATTGTCGATAGCTAAAAGTGTGCAATAAGTAGTTTATTGCTCAGCAAACTATTTCTGACATGAGAAAGTATATTTAATAATATAATGTGCACTTGTGCATCCACTACCAAGTTTAAAAAATACAATGGAATTCAAGTTTCTGGTTTATTCCTCCAAGATCTTATCTCCAATCTTCCTACTTACACGTAAACTTTCCTCTGATTTGGCATTTAAATTATCATGCAAATTTTTATATTTTATCTTATATGGACTTATCACCAAACAATATATAATTAATTTTGCATGCATTAAAATTATATTGAAGATATTATACTTTATGATCATCTGGAATTGTATTTTATTATATACATAGAATATATCTTATATATACATGTATATATATTTTTAATCTTCATCAGAGATTTTTTTTTTTTTTACAGAGAGCAGAGGGATGAGAAAGAGAACTATCTATCGGTTGCCTTTTGTATGTGCCACAGCCAGAGATCAAAGTTGCAACTGAAGTTTGTGCCTTGACCAGGAATTGAACCTACAAACTTTTTGGTGTACAGGATGATGCTCCAACCAACTGAGACACCTGGCCAGAGCTTATATTTTTAGTCAATATTTTGAAATAAGTTATCCATGTTACTACAAAAGGCGCTTATTCTTTCATTTTAGCTGCTATGCTATGTAAATCACACAACTTCTTGATTTATTCTCCTGAATGGAAATTCAGATTGTTTTCAATATTTTCAATATAACAAACAATGCTATAATGAACATTCTTGTAGATGTCCCCCAGGGGACATATGGCCATTTTTCGAGAAAATGTAATTGTTGACTTATTATATATGTGCATCTTCTACTTCACTGGAGAGTATGGAATTGCTCTCCTGAGGGGCTCTGCCAATTTACCCATTTGCCAGGAGTGAATGAGTGTTCCCTTTGCCCCACACCTAACCGTTAGTTATTGCTATTGTTTTCATTTTTGCCAGTTTAGTGGGTGTGAGATTATAGGTGATTCTTGTTTTAATTTGCACTTACTAATTACTAATGAGTTTGAGCACTGTTCATATGGTATTGGCTTTGTGGGTCTCCTCTTCTCTGAATTGCCTTAATTTATTGTGACCTCAGCAAAACCTTTTAAATGTTATTTGTTTTATTTAATTCAGAATTTTTGTGTTTTGAAAAGGAAATGTTTTTCAGTATTTTGTTTAAATATTGCTCTAAAATACCAATGCCTGGTTCTCACCCTCCACATTCTACTTTAATTGTTATATGGTGAAACATTATGGATTTTATGAACTCTCCAAGTAGTTCTAAGTGCAGCAACATTTGGGAAAATTGGGATTAAGTTGAGCCTGGTTGCCAATGTCCCAGAATAGACAACTCTATTAGAGTCACACAATGTGTGTTTTTTCCTGTTTTGTTTTTTACCTTAACAGGTAGGGATTGGGTGAGAAAAGAAGGCACAAAAACTCAATTGGCAAATGACGGTGAAATACTTTGGTTTATTTCACAGAGTATCCTGTTGCCTTTGGGTAGATAGAGGATTTACTGCAATAATACTGAAGTACAATTATTTTGTATTCTGCCTAAGGTAGAAGAAATGTTTTGGGAAAGAGAGAAAGATGAGCCAGCCAAGCTATTATTGTGAGACTATTGAGTAACAAATTTGTGTGATAGCATGAATAGACTTCAAGTTGGACTGAAGTTTGGACCTTCTATAGGGGAAGTACATCTGAGAATTGGAACTTTTTTCACTCCATTTTTGGCAGATAGAATAAACTATTAGTGCTGACTGACACAATTGACCAAATCAGCCCAGAGCCCAACTTTCCAGAAAAATTCTGCAGAGGAATTAATATCCACATGCAAATGACAAAGGGTCTTCTGCAAGGACCTATGGGATCCTCACCACTCTGCACCCACACTCCAGCCCTCACAGTTACTGTCAATGGCAGCAGGCTCCCTCCTTGGGCTTCTGGAGGTTATGAAACTCCCTTCAGACTGAGATCATTGCTGTATAATTTGCTTAATGTAGAGATTGATGTTTAGAAAATTATAACCATTGTCTAACTTAAAGGAACTCATATCATTTGCTCATGTCAAGTTGAGATATCACATGCCTGGTGATAGGATGAGCAGGGTTTGCTATTAGAACAAAATGAATTAAACAGATGTCATTGGACTGCATAGGTAATGTGAGTCTGGTACAGCAGAGGCTGGCCTATGAAAGCCTAGCCAATCATACTCACTGATTCCAAGAGATGAGTTTAGCTCTGGGCTATAATTAATTCATTCCTTTTCTCTTTGTTATTTTAGAAATTGTTGATATGCTTTAGTTTCTTATCTCACAATATTAAGTGCCCCCAAATAATAATAAAAAAAGAAAAATCTGGTCTGTGTGGTTTCTTTTTTTTTTTTTTTTCATCAAAGTCAGTATAATTAATTCATTCCTTTTCTCTTTGTTATTTTAGAAATTGTTGATATGCTTTAGTTTCTTATCTCACAATATTAAGTGCCCCCAAATAATAATAAAAAAAGAAAAATCTGGTCTGTGTGGTTTCATAGAAAACATTAATCATTATATTGTTTCAATATATTTTTTACAAAATTTGGCTAATTATAAACTTACTGAAAATTGTAACAATAATACAAATAGTTCCCTTATATTGCTTAGCATGTTTCCCTTAATATTAACAACTTACATGACCATAGTACATTTATCAAGGACAGAAAATTAACATTGCTGCAATATTATTAATTAAGCTGCAGATGTTTTACAAATTTCACCAATTTTTCCAATTAATGTCCTTTTTTAAATCCTAGGATCCTATCCAGAATCCCACATTTTATTAATTATTTATACTTAATCTCCTCCAGTATGTAATAGTTCTTCAGTTTTTTTGATCTTTGCTTACCTTGATTGATGCTTTTGAGGAATACTCACGAATTGTTTTGTAAAATGTCTCTCAACTTGGAATTGTCTGTTTGCTAATAATTAGAGTGAGATTATGCATTTTGGGCAAGAATACCACAATGATGGTGTTATGTCCTTCTCAGTGCATCATATCAAGTTCTTGTGTTGTCAATATGCTTAATGAGGAATATAGCTCATTGAAAAATATAAAATTTCAGGTGATGGATTGAAATAGTGATCATTTAATTGTGTATCATCTGAAAGGACAAAGGTTATGAGTGGTGTAATGTTGATACCACAGGGAACCTAATGGTTAACAGTAATAATATTAACCACCCATACTACAGTCTGCTGCAATGTCATTCAACATAAAACAAAGAGATTAACTAAATGCTTCAAATGTGGCTTTTAAAAATTATTGTGGAAATGTGATTCAGGCAACAAAAAATTGCCATCTCTTATGCAAGAAAATACCTAGCAGAAATTACATGAAACTATCTTTCTTTTCTTTTTTCTTTTTTTTTAAATTGTTGACACCATTACAGATGTTCCTATTTTCACCCCCTAGTCCCACCTCCACCCTGTCCCTGACCCGCCCCACCCCTCCTTACTTCTGGCCATCACCACACTGTTGTCTATGTCTATGGGTTATGCAAATATTTTCTTTAGTTAATCTCTCAGTTTCTTTCATCCAGCCTCCTCTCTCCCATTTCAGACAGCTGTCAGTCTGCTCCTTATATCCATTCCTCTGTTTCTATTTTCTTTGTTAGTTTATTTTATTCATTAAACCCCACATATAAGAGCAGTGTGAGGAGGAGAGCAAAGCCCGCGCGCTGCTGCATCCCCACGTCCTGCTCGGATGTCCTGCCACCATCACCAACATGCCCAAGAGAAAGGCTGAAGGGGATGCTAATGGAGATAAAGCCAAGGTGAAGGAGGAACCACAGAGAAGATCCGCCAGGTTATCAGCTAAACCTGCTCCTCCAAAGCCGGAGCCCAAGCCTAAAAAGGTCCCTACCAAGAAGGGAGAGAAGGTACCAAAAGGGAAAAAAGGGAAAGCTGATGCTGGCCAGGATGGGAATAGCCCTGCAGAACATGGAGATGCCCAAACAGACCAGGCACAGGAAGCTGAAGGTGCTGGAGAAGCCAGGTGAAGTGTGTGCATTTTTGATAACTGTGCTCTGGTGACTGTACAGTTTGAACTAGTATTTTTATCAAGTTTTATAAAAATGCAGAATTTTGTTTACTTTTTTTAAAGCTATGTTGTTTGCACAAAGAACTCTTTACTTGTTTTTTTTGGGGAAGGATATAATGTACTAATAGAATGTCTCCAAAGCTGGACTGACATGGGGTGGGGTAGGGGAGAAACACCTTCCCCTTCTAGTTTTGAGAAACTTCCTCTTGGTTCCTGGGAGGAGGGATCGCTTGATGTTGACACACATTAGCCACATTGACACAGATACCTTGTCGTGTGGGAAAACTAAAATTCATTTTTATGTCCTTTCCCCACCCCACCCCCCTCCACTTTAAGCATAGACTTTGGCTCTCTTAAGCCCAGAGATCTATTGGGACCTGATCCCAAAAATTGATTTCCAGTATGTTGGGCCATCTGGACTTTCTAGTGTCACCATTGAGATGGCATCCTCAAAAGAGCAGCAGTTCCTTTTAGATTGTGCATCTACGGATCGATATTCTCTGCCATTTTCATTTCATTTCCTGAAAGCCGGGGTCAGCTTGTGAAAAGTTGTTAAACAACAGGCTTAATGTGAAATGTCAACCCTCACTCTAAACTTTCTCTGTTCAGAACATCAGATGAAGACCGCATTGGGTTTTATAGGGGCTTTCTGATTTGGATAGTTCATTGAAGAAGGGAGTTTGAAAGTTGTATACTGTTAACGATTGTCTGCCCATGTCCTGCCTGAAATACCATGATTGTTTATGAAAGTTCCCTTAAACTATTCTCATTCCTTTATGAAAAGTATCTTTAATACAGCCGGATACAGTTTGCCTTGGAAAAAAAAACATTCCGCATATAAGTGAGATCATATTCTATCTGCCTTTCTCTGGCTTATTTAATTTAGCATAATAAATTTTAGGTCCATTCATGCTGTCGCAGAAGGTAAGAGTTCCTTTTTTTTATAGTCATGTAATATTCCATTGTGTAAATGTACCACACCATTTTATCTACTCATCTACTAATAGGAACAGGGTTCTTTTTCAAGATATTGGCTATTGTAAATAATGCTGCTCTGAACTTAGGGGTGCATATATTCTTTGGAATTGGTGTTTTCTTATTGACTTTCTGCCTGGAAGATTTATCCATTGATGTCAATGGGTGTTAAAATTCCCTACTATAACCTGTATTACTGTCAATCTCTCCCTTTATATCCATCAAGATTTGTTTGACGTACTTAGGTAGTTCGATATTAGGTGCATAAATGTTTACCAGAGTGATATCCTCTTTGTGAATTGCTCCTTTTATTATATGTACTGTCTTTCTTTGTCTCTTACTATGGACTTTGTTTTAAAGTCTATTTTGTCACATATAAGTATTGCTACCCCCAACTATTTTAATTTCCACTTGCATGAAATATCTTTTTTCATCCTTTTACTTTTAGTCAGTGTGTATCTTTCATTCTGAGGTGGGTTTCTTGTGTACAGCAAATATATGAGTCTTGCTTTCTTATCCATTCAGCTACATTGTGTCTTTTGATTAGGGCATTTAAGTCATTTACATTTAAAGTTATTGTTGACAGGTATGTATTTATTGTCATTTTATTCTTTTAAATCCGTTCCTGTATTTTAGTTGGTTTCTTTTATTTTGTTTTTCTTCTTGTTCTTCTACTTCTTAAAGCAGGCACTTTAACATTTTCTATAATACTGGTTTGGAGGTATCAAACTCCTATAGCTTTTTTCTTGTCTGGGAAGCTCTTTATTTCTCCTTCATTGCTTGTAGGTCATTGCTTTTGAATATTTCATGCCAATCTATTCTGGCCTAAAATATTTCTGTTGAGAAATCAGCTAACAGTATATGGAAGTTCTCTCATAGGTAATTAACTGTTTTTCTCATGCTGCTGTTAAAATTATCTCTTTGTTTTTAACCTTTGACACTTTCATTATGATATGTCTTGGTGTGGACCTTTTTGGGTTCACCTTGTTTGGGACTCTGTGTACTTCCTGGTCTTGTATGTCTTTTTTTCTTCATCATATTAGGGAACTGTTCAGTCATTATTTCTTCAAATTGGTTTTCAATCTCTTGCTATCTCTTTCTTCTCATTCTGGTACCACTATGAAGCAGATATTGTTACACTTCATGTTTTCCCAAAGTTCCCTTAAACTATTCTCATTCCTTTAAAATCGTTTTTTCTTTTTGCTGCTCTGATTAGATGTTTTTTTCTACCTTGTCTTCCAAATTGCTGATTCAATGCTGTTTCTCATCCAACTTAGTTTTTATTCCTTCCAGTGTATTCTTGATGTCAGATATGGTATTCTTCATTTCTGAATGATTCTTTTTCATGGTTTCTATGTCCTTTTTCATGCTGTGGTAGTTATCACTAAGTTTCTTGAGCATCATTATAATCATTACTTTGAACTATATGTCAGATAAATTGCTTGCCTGCGTTTCATTTAATACCCTCTCTGGAGATTTCTCATATTCTTTTATTTGGCCTGTTACTTTGTCTCCTGACGACTTAGGCTGTTTATTTATTTGTGTTTGTTTCTATGTATAAGATAGATCTGCTATGATTCCCAGCCTTTGGGGGGGGGGTTGGCCATATGTAGTAGGAGTCCTGTGGGACCCAGTGGTGCCATCTCCTTAATCTCCTAACCTAGGTGCTCTAGGAATGTTCTGTGTATGGGTTATGTGGGCCCTCCTGCTGTAATTGAATCTTGATTGCTGTTGGCCTATTCAGTCCTCAGGCTGGCTGACTGAGAGGCTCAACCATGACAACAGCATGCAAGCTGCTGTGCAGGTGGTGACCAAATGAGAAAAATAAATAAATAAACAAATAATAAACAAATAAATAAAATAAAAATTCAAAGCAATTAAAAACAAAAGAAAGGGAAAAAGTAAGAAATAGAAAATTAAAAAAAAGCAGAATATGACTCAGCAAAGTTTAGTGCCTGCTGTCACCTCCCTTTTTATATGCTGTTGGTGCAGTTTATAGAATCCTGCTCCAATGTCTGAATCTGGCCATGTGGTGTGTTAGTTCTGGGCCTCTTGGGAAGGACTCCAGTGAAGGCCAATGTCAGGTGCTGTCTGTACCTGGCCCTCTGCAACTTGTTTGAAGCTACAAGCTATTCACAGATTCTAGCTGCCTCTCTTAGGCTTGACTGATATAGGAAGTTCCAAGCTGTGCTCCAAGGTTGGCTTTTACCAGCACAGAGCCCGGGGTGGTCAGCAAATGTCCCAAGTCACCCCAGGATCTGCCTCCACCTGTCTCTGCCTTTAGGCTGCCTGTTAGACGCAGTCACTGAAATCCTTTTTTGAAGCAACACTTTAAAATCAATCATATAATTTGTGAAGGAAAACCACCAGAATATTTTATAACTTAAAAGAGAATTATTGGCTGGAAACAGTGTAATGGAAAATACAATTAAATAAGCAAGCAGATTGCTTAAAGCTATAATTCAGATGTTTTAGAATTGCACTGGAAGGTGAAACTCATATAACTAGAGAAGTTAAGTGATATTCTGTATTGCAGTTAAAATGAACAGATTATAGGTCTAAACCAAATAGATGCACTGACAATAACATTTTCAAATAAAATTTTTCACAATACTACTTAAATGCATTCTTAATTGGCTTAGAGACTCATATTGACTTGTGTTTTTCTTTTTTATTTTCTTTTTCTCTTACTTGTCTACTTTTGAACTTATTATTAACTATGAAATTATAAAAGTAAATAATTTTGTGATGTTATTGCCCATTTAAAACTCTATATTAACTTTTATTCTAGTTCTGTAATTAGTTCCAAATTTTTCCTATCAGGTACAATTTTTTAGGCATTCATTCATTATCCATATAATTAACATATAATGGAAAAGCAACCTGAAGCATTAGCTTAAAATATTAGTATGTATTTGTAAATTATAATCAGAGGCTAATTGAAAGTCATATAAATTTCTTCTTGTTACAGGTACCATTTTAGCAGCTGCAGAGTTATCATTCATCATTATGCTTATCTTTCATAAGTTTGACACCTTAGCATGAACTGGTAGTAACACTTACAAAACAATTTGATAAATATTTTAACAAACTCCAATAGGTATAAAATATTTTAGTGGTAAAAATAATACATAAAATTACACCAGAAATGTTGGACACAAAAATAAAAGCATTCAGAGAGAAATAACTTGGATTCCAAGCAGACTATGAATATTTGATCTTATAAATAAATTAAAATTTATCTTAGCAACATTATATACAAACTTGCAACATGAGGATTAAAGTATGTTCATAAGCTTTATTGAGGTATAATTTACAAATAAAATAATAAGATATTCAGAGTGATGAGTTTATATACATATACATTGTGACTGTGTTCCCCTCATTGAGTTAACACATCTATCACCTCATATATTAAACCTTTCTTTTTTGTGTGAGAACCTTTAAGTCCCACTCTCATCAAATTTCAAATATACAATACATTGTTATCAAATATAGTCACCAGGTTATGCATTTTCTTAGATCTTAATCACCTTATAACTGAAAGTATATACCTTATCACCAACCTCTTCCTATTTTCCCTGTCCTATGAGTTTGATATATTTTTTTTTAAGATTCCACATATAAAGTGATACCATGCAGTATTTGTATTACTCTGTCTTGCTTATTTCCCTTAGCTAATGCTCTGCAGCTTTATCCATACTGTTGTAAATGACATAATTTCCTTCTTTTTAAGGCTAAGTAATAGTTCTTGGGAAACCTACATACTCTTCTCCATAGTTGTACCAATTTACATTTACTCCAACAGTGTACTAGAGTTTTCTTTTCTTAAAATACTTACCAGCATTTGTTATCTCTTTTCTTCATGATAATAGACATCCTAACCGATGTGAGGTGATAACTCATTCTGGCTTTGATTTTGTATATTCCTGATGACTGGTAATGCTGAGCACCTTTTTATATATATATTTTGGCAATTTAAAT